AAAAACTTATTAATTTTTTTTTTTAAACTAATGGTTATTATGAAAATGAACATTTGTGACATAATATAAATATATATATATAATAAGAGCAATATAAGAATATAAGTAATAACTTCAATAGAGATTAAGTTATGCAACATGTAAAATAAACATTGAGACACGTTTTTAACAGCATAAATGTATCTTTCGACGAACGGTCCTCGTGAATTCATCTACTGCCACAATTAAATATTATTCAATTACATTTTGGACCATTTTAGAAGTAAAAGTATGTAATGTGTAAGTATAAAATGTATAAATAAATATTTGTTTTACTTTATTTATATTTATATAGTGTTATAAGTAGTTTAAGTTCTCATCAAGAAAATTCCTTAAAAATGGATTATAAAATTATATTCTCTATTTAGAATTTTGAATTGAGCAGTAAATTAATATAATACAATAATAAACAAATAAATAAGTTTATTTATTAATTATTTGTCAATAATGTCAATATAGATATCCCGTCACAACGGGATTATACGGCAAAATGTTTGTTTATAACGTCCTAAACTATATATTAGAAAAAATAACTATTGGCATTTTACCCTAACAAAAGTAGTGGGATATTAATATTACCCCAAGACGCTATTTTATCTTATGATGAGTCTGTACAATATGGTTGTTAAAAAAATGAATCAACGATGTACTGAATCTTTTCATTTTTAACTTATATTAATAGGTTAACAAGCTCGAGTTAAACATTGTGTAATGTTTAATAATTTACGTAAAGCACTATACAAATTATAAGAAGCATGTTGTGGTATACCACGCCGCCATGTTTACCTCATAAAAACAATACTGATGTCAGGAAATTTTTGATACTTATGTAACACGGTAAACACACAATTGTATTAATTGTATTAAATAATTCTGTGACACTGACGCAAGCGCTGCTAATCGGTATCATTGTTAAACACGACGAGTGGCATATTTCCCCAACTGTCGTATTACCTACGGTTACCCTAATAAGGATAAAGTCGCCTATTATGAAATACCTTTTTTTAAAGGCTTGTAATTTATTTAATTTGTAGCTTTAACTATTACTTTCACGTCAAATTTATGGGAAATATATTTAAGTTTTTTATCGTCAAAAATTAACAATCGATAACAGCTGTACTTTGTATATGAAATTTTTTATCAAGAATACCGATTTTGCTCAAAAAAAGATTCCTATGTGAAACACAAAAGGTCTCTTTATATGAGATGATCTCATAACAGAAAAAAAAACTAAGAAAAAAGTAAAGATAAATTTTATATTCACGCTTTTATAATATTACATAAAAGTAGGAACAAAAAATTTAAATGTTATACATAATAATTATATAATTTTTTTGACGCGCGCGCGCGCGCGCGTATGTGTGTGTGTGTGTCTGTGTGTGTGTATATGTAAAATAAATTAAGAGACAATTTCAAAATCACAATATTACATTTACAGTTATATTTATAAATTTTAATATAAAACCGAATTTGTATATGTTTTATGCGTTTGTTTTTTGTACATAATTAGAATAAAATAATGTTTATTTGTAAATATACATATTCTGTACATATATTTTCCTTTCATGTTATATTTATAATATTGAATATAATCATATTCATAATATTAAACATAATTGCATTTATAATATCATAGATACAATTATGTTTTATTCAAATATTTTCAAAAAAACAGATATCAAAAGTTTCTAAGCAAGTATTCGAGTCTAATCAGAACGCAATAAAAAATGATTGGCTATTCGTGGTCGACTCGGCGACTTGATTAGTATAGAGCGTTTTAGCGTAAAAATAGCACCCCAACATTGAAATTCCATATTCTAATTAGAGTTGCCACTTCCTTTTAACGAGACGAATAATTCTCTACCGTTTATATCGAGAGTTTCGCTTAATAATAATTTTTAAATAATTTTAAAAAAATGCTAACTAGAAATGGATGATTCCATCCAAAAGATTGATTTTTAAATCGATCTGAATCGTAATCATGTGGATTGATTCACGGAAAAATCGGGCGGTCAAAAATCGATT